GGGAATTCTGGGAGTTGAAGTCCACCCCTCTTCGAGTTCCCAAGGTTGAGAAACACTGCTCTATGGCATTACATTGTTAATAAAATCTCTTTATCTGAAACTATAATTTAATGTTCATGTATCTAATTTACAAGTGACAAAGTAATGTCCTCTAAAATTAGAGTGTAACCAGCAAAATACTGACTACTGTAAACAGTATGAGAAAAAGCACAACCCAAACATTTCTTAGTAAATCAAAGTGTGCAACTTTTAACTGGGGAATTATTTTAGTTGTTGATATTGGTTTACACATAGATGTAAGTATAGCCTGAAAAAATTCTTCAAGTGGACATTGTTTTGTTGTTGTTATTGTTGCTGTCGTGGAAGGAGTCTTGTGTGTGTATATATATAAAGTCCAAGAACATACTACAGTTTTCCTTACTGATTTAGTTGGTATGAATGCTTGACATTTTGGGAGAAGCCCTCCCAATAAACCAGTATATATAATTATTGTCTACTTATCTGATTTGTTTTTCAGTCAACTAAAAATGCTATTTTTAAAATATTTCGATGCTTAACAGTGGAAAAAATGCACTTAATGTAAAATTACAATAGAATGTTAGACTGCAGCTCTCCTGTCCAAATATTAGTGGCTTTAATACTTATGAAAGTGTGCATTATCCTGAAATCAAAAAGTTATGTGCATACTAAATAAAACAGAGCAACTACATACTGAACAAACAGTGAATCTTAACAAAATCAACATGCACTAACCCTACACTTATGCAAAAGTAATATCTTTCAGAAAACTGCATCCAACCTTTGGCCTTCCACAAAGGTATAAATTTTGTTCCTTCATCATACAGTTGGACTTGTGTATTCAAATCCCAGTTTTTTCGCCCATTGTCACAAAATGTGCTGCTCCACTGCTATCGCCTTTGGCCGCCCTCAGGCTCCTGAAGAATCTGTTTTCTTACAGTCAACTTTAAATATGGTTGTCGTGAGCCTTATACAAGTCCTATTCCTTACTCTTTATTCATCTTCTTCTGGTTCCTGTGATAAAATCAGTGTTTCTTCCTTTAGACAAGCACTAAAAAAGCTGAGAATTGTGCTATAAAGGTGATATTTACTCTTCTCTGATGTAATGTAATGACCTTCATCTGGGTAGATCTAGGACAGGAAAAATAAAAAATTTTGAAAACCAAGTGGCAAGATTTTAAATACAATTGTATTATCACAGAATGAATGCATCAGATAATGTTATAGATTCACTGAAAATATCTAAGTTTCAAAGTGAAATTTATTTTATAATTTTAACCATCATTTTACAACCTGCACAAAAAACTTCTAGTACTGAAGGTATTTTTTGTTTTTGTTTAAAATGGCGTTTCTTATTTAAATTTTCAAGATTTAAGGGAAATAAACAGTTACTATTTTCTATCTATTAACTATCTATCATATTTATATAGCTGCCCATCTCACACAAAGTGACTCTGGGCGGCATACAACAATTAAAAAGAATAAATACATAAAAACAATTACAAATAAACTATAAATTAAAAAAATCAAATATTGATGAAAATAACTGTAGCCCTTAGAACAGCTTAGTAAAATATGAATTGAATATGAATTATAAATTCTAAAATATATTCAAATACTAAGCAGTTAACTTTTTTCACCCATATAATAGTTGCAGTTGAATAATTCTACAAATGTTTGCATTGTTAGTGCTGAAAATCAATATTGATAATGACTCCAGATTGCATTCTGAAGGACAGCTGATAAAAAAAGGGAATATACTATTTTAACAACTGGTGCAATCCCTAATCAAAATTAAATACTCTAATAAATATCCTTTAACTGTCTAGTCATACATGTCTCTATTTTCCAATATAGCAGCCCAAGAGATTTTTGATTTTCATCTCCCACATGCAATCTATAGCTTGATAAAGTTTCATATCCTATCAAAAGATTAAGTAGCTTAACTCTTTCCCAGCATCTACCCAGACAGCACAGGTATAGTTCAAAAACTTACTTTCCATGAGACAAGAATTAATGGGCACAGAACAACAGTAAATCTATCATACTCTATAGTGTGCAAAACAGGATCAGTTATCAAAAATCCAAGATCATGGCCTTTAGGTAAAGACTCAGACAAAGAACCTGGCTTATAGAGGGGAATAAGATTGAGCAGGTTCACACTTTTAAATACCTTGGAATGGTTTGACATGCCAAAGAATCATGGACAGCACCTCATGATCATGCCTCTTAGGTGGCATTACGATCTTCTGCTGCCATTAGGCACTTCTGATGATCAATTATTGGCTAAAGATCCTGTTCTTTCCCATGGTTTACTACCCTTATATTGGCAGAGTACTATTCTCCAAGCTGAATGGGTGCTATAGAATCCAAGCTAGCAACTTATGGACTCTTGGCCAGGTTCCTTCTTATTCTGGGTTATGAAAAGGCCAGACCTGCATTCACTCAAATGATAGATGATAAGGAGTACCAGTCGGAGGTTAATAGGATCCCATATAACAGCTGAGCCTGATTTCAAAGGGACCTTGAGTTCTGGCTAAATATGTACATCTCTCTCCTTCCCCAGGCTTTTGGTCATGGTACAATATGTTTCCATCACTGCTCCTATAAGTCATATACTCTCAAATCCCCTTATTCAAGTGAGTTTGCCATTGTGATTATGAGGATATTGAGACTATTGCTCATGTACAGGTAGTCTTCATTTAGTGACCACAATTGGGACTGGCAACTCAGCTGTTAAATGAAGTGGTCACTAAGTGGAACTGTGACTGTGTTTATGATCTTACTTCAGCTTTCCTTTGCTTTACAGACCTGCAAAGGTTGTAAATGTAAGGACTGGTCATAGTTACTTTTTCATCGCTGCTGTAACTGTGAATGGTCACTAAATGAGGTGGTGGCTAAATGAGGCAGTCACTGAATAAGGACCACCTGTACTGCTGAACTACAATTTCCATAGAGACACATGGAATTCTTTTATTTCATCTCTTCTGCAACAGTATACATGATGATCAGACTTTATTACATAAAGCTTCTATTTTGTCATTCTAATGTTAGCATTACCAGTAATGTGGCTAATTTCTGTGTTGCTGTGGTTAAAGTGTATCATATTATCACCATCTATCCCTGATTATTACGTTTTTATAATTTTTAAAAATTTTATCATTTATTTTAATAAACTACATTTGCATTAACTTTAAAACTGCATAGAGTAATTAGTTTAACTTAATAAGATGCTATAGCTTATGTTGCAATCCATGGAAAAATAGTACTGTGTTGCTAAATATTAAAAACAGTACACCAAATAATTAAAATTTTCAAGCAGCAATGGGTCTTAGGCTATGATACAACTTAATTTCAGGAGACTCTGATTTTACCTAAATCTGTGTACAGTTCTACTACTGGGCATCTGACAGACAAAGTGGTTTAGCAGACAATTCAGGACACCCATGCTATGTTGCCTTAAGTGTTCGATTTAACGTTTCTGCCTCTGCTACATCCAGCATCACATAAGTAGAAGTCCATTAGTACAATGGAAATTTCTCATTATATTCTGTTCATGTCTCAGATCTGTCTTGGAAGCGCACCTAATTTTTTGTAAACAAAACTGAAGTGGACTCTAGGGTTGATGGGGAGAAATCAAATTCTGGATTCTTGGTGGATGTTGTTTTGTCAGTGCTAAATACCACCAGACACAAGGCTATAATTTTTTCTTGAAAAACTAATTAATCAATTCATTAGACTTTATCCAACATTACATAAGCAAACCAAGTTATATAATAGGACTGCTGCCTCTCCTGTGTATATCACAAATATGCTTTGAAAGTACCACTACCTTCTGGAGCAGATTTTAAGGTTACTTGGAAGTATGATTTGTTCCAATGGGATGACATTAGCCAATCAAATGATATCATTCTATAAAGACCAATGATAGCAATAAAAATGATCTATAGTAGCTAATTGTATCCATATCAAGAAGAAACATGAAGGAATTTTTAAAAATAGTAATGTCTTCTCATTATTTTAAATATTTAAAAATAATGTCTAAACTATCTGAAGAGATATAAGTAAAATACATTATCTTATCATATTTTGATTTAAAATATACAGTATTTATGCTATGTAAGCATATTTTTCAAGTTAAAGTATTGTATAAGTATTATATTAATCTGATAAAAACTAAATATTCATTTTATAATTTATATTCTGCTTTTATTATTGCTTAAAGTATTGGTTTTGCTTCTTTCTCCTTTATTGAGTCTATTTTGAATAAAGTAATTCTCAAAGATGTTTAAATTATAAATAGATAGGGATATATAGATAGAAACCAGTTTCTAGACAAAGATGTATTTTAAATACATGCAACAAAGAGCATAATAAATCTTCTAAACCTGGTTAAAATTAAAACATGTTGAAAGATGCATAAACTATGACATTCCTAAATATTACATACCTGCATAGTATAATTCACTCCGGCTTTTATTAGCTGTTTAATTAATTCTGCTGAGTGCTGAAAATGGACTTTAGCTATGGGACAACAACATTTGAGTGTTAGTGAAAGGCATTATTAATATGAAACAGTTCCTACAGATGAGCTCAACATAGTCACAATTTTAGTGTAAATGCTTTTTCTGTATGAGATAATACTCTTTCTTAGAAATTTTACAATTTTTTTTTTTATTTCATGATAAAAACTATAGCACAGTGGCTATAAGCACAGCTCATAAACTGATTTCTCCACGCATGCATTGAAAATCTCTTGGGAGTTTAGTTGATTGAAAACTTAGTTTATGGACTCATGAGGTTCTTTAAGTAATCTACAATACAATGCTGTTCATATAGTGAACAAAACTCTTCTAAATTCAACAGGACTTATTTCCAGACATGTATTCATATGGCACACATATTCAAATCTGTAAGTAGAAATAGCTGTACTTGAACTACATTACTATTCTGATATGTGTATTAAAAATTCTGAATATTGAAGAATAATGTATAACAGAGGTATTATTTCTCAAATATTGGTAAGGTTCAGAACATTTTGAGAGTGTAAATGCTGACATATGCAACTACAATAAAGATACGTTGTTTCTGAATTCTGAAGTGTAACCTAATTATTAAACTAATCTTCCCTTTTACTATATTGTTATCAGATTTCTACCAGCTTCTGAAATGTCCTTTTAGACACACAATTAAGCATGTATTTTACTATGATATACAGGAAGGCAGAAACTGCATTTAATAGCTCAGTCCAGATAAAATGATTTCATTTTTCTTTAAGTGTATATGTTTAAATACTATTTTGATCAAATGACCTTCAGTTTGATCAATACATTCCCAAGATACAGAAATTTGTCTAGTTCTATTTGAAGGAGGTTTTAGCTACTCATTAGAAGCATACACAAACATATAAAATGTGTCACACTGATGTATGAGAAAACAAATAATTACATATTTCAGCTGTTCTGAAAATGTGTGTTAGGACAATAGACTTTTTGGTTTTGGTTTTGGTTTGGTTTGCCACAGCATAAAGGCTGTATAGTTCCTGTGATTTGGAGATTCAAAGAGGGGCAAGACAATCCTACTTGTTGTCCCTGAAAGCTCCAATATCAAATATATTTCAGCTGCCTGGATATGTTTAGCTACTGGAACCAGTGAGAAGGAATAAATCTACACCAGGCCCAGTATTAATATTATTTTTGTTCTTTTCCATCTAACCAATGGCAGAGCCAATTCTGAAAGTTGGGGGCAAGGTGAAGATGAGCCTTCAAGTCTGGAGCAATCAAGTACTTGACCCAGGACAGCAGTAGGCTGTTGCCTGACCCAGAGCTTGAGGAGGACAAGGTCTCGGTCCTCACACACGCAGAAAGAGTGGACATTTTCCCAACCCCCTCCCCCCTTGTGCCTCACTACCATCTCCCGTGTAGTTGGGAGGGACTCCAGAGCACAATCTGCTGCTGGGGAAAATTGAGGTAAATAACTGTCACTCTTTTTGGTAGAAAGGTTTTTTTCATTCCTGAAGAAAGTAATACTAATGGAAAGTGACTATCGGTACAACACAAGCGTTGCTTTACATTTAATCTGAATGTCAGTTAATATACTTAATGTGACTGAAATACTGCCTGTATGGTAAAGGCATAGAGATGGCTATAGATGAATGGTAAAGAAAGCATGTGCTTAGCATGAAAAATAGTCAATCTAGAAAATTAAGGGTCAAAGAGCCTTCCTTCCTTCCTTCCTTCCTTCCTTCCTTCCTTCCTTCCTTCCTTCCTTCC